ACCCACATGACATGAGTTTTACGCCCCTATATCCCTATTGATTTCTACCTCAATCCAATTCCCTTGTATGTAAGACAAACGACGAACGTATATCATGCCTATAGCCTTATAAAACCATCGACTCGAGTCCATATTCCTCGGCGGTTCTACTTCATATATTTTGGCCGATTGAAAATGGTTCCCTCAAGGTTGTGGTGGAATTGATATTTCCAGGTGGCATCGCAAAGAGTGATGAAAGTCGCCACGGGTTGTAGGTATTGAGGAAAATCCACGGCGCTTCAGCCCTTAAGTCACAGCGAGTTCCTCGGTGGAAGTTGTAAATCAAAACCTGCTGATATCACCCTCTATGGTTGTGCCAGGATTTCCCCATCATCGCACTAATGTCGCCGTTAGAGATATTTTTAGATCTACGCTTGTCCCTAGGTCGTCATCAGGTGCATAAAAAAGGTGCTAACAATCATTCAAACTGCAGAACATCAAACTTAACTACAATGCAAACCGTACTGGACTTGTGCAGACTACGTGGAAGATTTGACAACAATAATCCGATGATATATTACCTGTTCATTCTCCAGTGGCTAGCTACACTCAAGGTCATCCTCATAACTACCACGGGTATAGAAAATCTATTACCCCTGCGAAAGTTTGCAAATCTCAACTCCGCATGGATGCTAGCGTCGTTCGAAACAAGCTATTTGGGAATTTGTACGTCGTATACACGAACATACTCATACTTTTAATCTTAACCGTTTGAGGTTTAAATACTTTTGTGTTTTTAACGGAGTGTACTTTTGATTTGCAATTCAGTGACTTGAGCTTTAAGTTAACGGCGAATGATCAATAAATAACTTTTGAGTCTTGAGTCCCTTGAGTCTCTTGAGTTCCCCATGACATTACACGTAAATGCCCTGGCCGGACGGGGATCTTCTGTGATCAGCTACTACATTTTAGCGGCTTTGGAAGGAGCAATGAACTCCGAAGGGGATCGTCATCAATAACTTGTCGTTTTGAAGACCACTGATGTGTAGATCGTTCGATCATCTACGAAGTTCAAACGACTGTAAATATCCGTTTGAAGTCTAAAGAAATTCAAGTGTAACGAAGAACCTGCTAAAACCGTCTTTACAAAGACGAAACTTCAATCAAATGCGCTGAAGCTCAGGAAGTTGTTACGATGATGAAACTACAGTATTACCAGTATCGTCATTCGTAAAATGTTGTAGCTTTTCCCCTGGGTTTAAATTGAGTGGGCAATCAGCTGCAAGAACAACTTTACAGGCATGTGTAGGTAGGCGTACTTATTTGTCATCAGTGAACAAGGCCGTCTTATGAGCTTTCAAATATGACAAGAGCTGCAGCTGGCGCCTAGCTGTTTATTCACTTTTTCCAATCATTTTCTTGTACTTCAAGGCATCTACTAGTACTGGACCTGGTAGAAAACCTCTCATGGGCCGACGAATCGATCAACATATTGTATAACCATAAGGTACACTCGTTTTACACATCGATAGCTATTCAGTACTTGCTTCATTACGTTTGCCGTTTGGATGTTCATCTTTTAGAACACCCAATGCAGTTTTTAGTGCTTCGAAAGCAGATATTTTAAAGTCAATATTCTAGTCACTTATCTAGATACTGAGTTGAAAGAACACTATCGCAATGTATATCGACATTCTTGAAACAGAAATACCAAAAATTCTGATGGAAAACGGTTTCTGGAAGGATCCTGGGCTGATATTTAGGGTACCACCCAGAAAATAAAGGACAAATTTTGAGGGGAAGATTTTAAAGGTGCAGTACCAGTTTGACATACTAAATGCTGTGAAATAAAAACGCGTGGTACACGAGAGACTTAGCCGGCTCTTTACTTCAACACCTGCTCGGATTGTGTTATTATTAGCTGGCAGAACATTCTCCCCGCCTTGCCAATTTCTTTTTTTATTCTTCCCAACCGGCAGAGAAGTCTCTAGCTAGAAGGGGGCTTGAAATCTTGGCACGAGTACCAGTTTAGTCCTTAGAAGTCGAGGACCGGGGTTTTACTCACTGACAGTCACGTGTGCCAATTCAGAGTCTGGTTATAGGTATGATGGACAAATGAACATGTTAATCCAACTTTTACATATTTGGGCATGGCGTGGAAAAAGCCCATATCAGAATAGGGGATAGGCCAAAAGGGCAAAGGAAAAAGGCATCGAAGCTTGTCCAGAAAAATTACTTTTCGTCCAGACGAAATAAAAGATGATGCTTTGTTAGAGTAATATGACAGCATATGACTCTTCAGGACTGGTGTAAACCACTTGTTATTTAGCCAAAATTGAAGATGCTGATTTGATAAAGCTACGACTAAACTGTTCACGTCATAGAATATATGTTTTTTCGATAACCTAGACAAAATAAAAGGAATGAAATGGAAATTTATAGTATAATCCGAACGATATATCAGTATGTGAATTTTAATATATCATGTGTAGCTCAAGCTGAAAGTAAAATGTAATAGAAAAACCACCGAAGCTTGTCCTGCAAAGTCGCTTGGCATATGGACAATGTAAAGTATGATTTGTAAGGTTATGAGCATACTACTGACGCTTGACAGTATTATATGGTTCTGTAATCTAAAATATACGGTAGGGACTAAATGTGAAGGTAGGCTCACAAGTGCATGTCCAGACGAAATAAAATATCAATATTTGTGAGAGTCATATACCACATATACCATATCAATTTATAGACAAAGTAAGGGTTTAAGTACGGGGGAAGCAAAGATTATTGAGGCCTGCCCGGCGACTAAAATTACCTGTCATCCAGGCTAAATAGAATATCATTTTTGTGATAGCCATAAAGTGAGTGGTACTTCCAGTTCTAGATGAAGGTTAGGGTCAAATTATACTAGGAGTAAGGGTTGCTGAGGCACCAGCATTATTTATCATCCAGAAAAATATAACATAAGGATTTGTAAGACATAATAAACACTCAATAATACTAACGTCATATAGTATATAGTTTTTACATCTATATGCAAAGATGCCCATGAATTACATCACATTAATGATGAAGTTAATGTTTTAGTAATGTTTTCCTTTTATTTCGGTTGATAGACGAATTTCCATGTAATATACCAATCAAGGCAGTAGTAGTGACAGCATCTATTATTTTCAGAAAATTTATCTATCTATTTAATAGATATTTATTAGTTTGATTTTGAAGGTTTCGGAGCTGCCTAACTAGCCAATACACAAACTAACAGCAGTGTTACAGACACACCGTGTTTTTCAGCTGGCACTCTTTCATTTCTGCGTAATGAAATCCTTTTGATTGACTCGGCAATTTGTACCATACGACAACCCGCGGTGGCTTGTAGCGCCCTCAGCCGTTCCTTTAATTAAGTTGCACAAAAGTCACGCCAGTGGTGAAGACTCGTGCCGTGCGATGACGTCCACAGGTCTCAGACTAGCAGCCAAAACAACTTTCGAGAGCATTTCAGGTGCTTTCAGAGTACACAAATTGGACTAACTACATCCTGTTGTTACACTAAATATCGCATATGGTCCTGACGTGGCCCTCACTATTATCCAAACCACGTTGAAAAGACGTGTGCCATAAGAATACAGATAACAGATGTCGATTGATGGATGAAAAGATTGAAACAAAGACGCTTTCAGAGTACACAAATCGGGCTAACTACATCCTGTTGTAACACTATATCGCATATGGTCCTGTCGTGGCCACTATTATCCAAAACACGTTGAAAAGACGCGTGCCATAAGAATACAGATAACAGATGTCGACAGATGGATGGAAAGATAGAAACAAAGGTGTCTAAGGTTGAACGATGGTCTGATCTTCTTATAAAGGGATTGAGCAGGATTGATACTATCGTGGCCCTCACTATTATCCAGGCCACGTTAAAAAAACGTGTGCCACCAGAATACAGATACCAAATGTCGATAGATTGATGGAAAGATAGAAACAAAGTCTAAGGTTGAGCGATGGTCTTCTGATCCTCTTGTAAAAGGGATTGAGCAGGATTGATGCTATCAAGGCTTGTGGTCATGTTTCGGACCAATAGAGCGATCAATCGAAAAAGGTGCATTGACATTTATCTACGAGGTAACCAGTGATAAAAGAGACCGTGCGTACTTCATAATAAACATTCGTGATCAAGTAGCTACATTTGATAGAAAGGCAAGTATAAGGCACATAGAATGTGGTGAATGCCTTTTTTCTCGATCTATAGATTAGAATTCTCATAATGCCACTTCTTTCTTCGCATTCTAGGCATAGTCTTAGAAACCGCTTCGACGAATGCCCAAAAGTATTGACTTCATTAGAAAAAAAATTCTAAGAGATATGCTAAAGCAATCCTTAATGTATGAATTCTGCAGACTCTGCAGGTTTTTTAACATTCTTAAGAAGGCTATAACACCATTTTCTTCTTGTACCCTGTCTTAGAGTACCCCGTCGAAATAGGATCTTAAGAGTTGACGTTACATAAAAAGCAAACTATATTACCCTTTTCTTTTCCAAAAAAGGTCTTGTGAGAAACACATACTACATACAAGATATGGCAATTCAATAAGACTGTTTAAGGCATCCAATGCAATTTCAGGGCAAAACTGGAAATATTCTGAATAAGGCAATCTATATGACATTGACACATACTATCCCACATTAGCACATAGTACATTTGAATCATTATTTCATACTTTAGGCATTTAAAACTGCAGAATCAAGCCCCAACATGAGTCCTTAATTTTCTGGGTGGTACCCAAAAATCAGTTTAGGGCCCTTCCATGCAGTAACCATTTTCCATCAGCATTTTAGGAATTGTTGTTCCATGAGGGTCAATATACATTGGGACAGTGTGGTTTCAACTCAGTGTGTAAATAAATGGCTAGAATATTGGCTTTGAAAAATCGGGTTTCCAAGCCCTAAAAACTGCACCGGACGCCTTCAAAAGATCAGGATCTGAAGCACTGCAAGGCAACAAATGAAAGGCTCACCGTGTAGCAGGTTGTCCACCAGAGTGAACGGCATGCAGAAGACAGCTACCAACAGGTCGCTGACGGCCAGGTTCAGGATGAACAGGTTGGTGACTGTTCTCATCTTTGGGTTCTTCACCAGCACGGTGCAGACGCCGACGTTGCCGACGATGCACATCAAGAAGATGATGAGATAGGAGATGATGAACACTATGGTGACCGGGGTGTCATGCTTGTACAGGGGGATCGGGGTGAGGAAGTCTTCGGTGCCGTTGCTTTCCTCGTAGATGCCTGCGTCCGATGTGAGATTGGCCATTTTTTTGCCTTCAAATCTATTCTTTAGAAACGAATCTGACCCACCTCTTTGAAAGTCAGTTTCTGGAAACGGACGTATTTGCTAGCTCTGGCAATCGTTCACAGTTCAGGCATGTTTACCTCTACTGCAGGAGTAGATTTTCAGTCTCTCTTCCCTGCTGTTCCGTTCTTTGAATCTGCATATGAAGGAGAAAGCAAACTTTTAACAACTAGCAATCTAGATCAACGTGGGCCAGAAGTAATACCGTAGTGGCTACGAGAGCCGCTAAAGCCGCGATACTAATACAGAAGCTGCCGTGACAAAGAAGAGAGCACGCCGCCCGGCGCCCTCATCCACTCCGCACAAATCACCCCTAGGCCGTGGATGAGACGACTTGCATTCAGGGAGTACCAAATTGGGTGGCCTCATTTGCATGGCTTAAGGCCCCACGAATACTCCCTGCCAAGCTGATTACAGGCGCCAATTTCCTGTCCAAAGCCCGAGTCCGGCTATTTTTACTTCTTTCCTGTTTACTCCGAATGAGCTGATTTAGGGAGGTAATCATAAAGGTTAACCAAGAGCTGGGATACTCGATGACCAATGTCGATAATGGAATGTTATCTAAAGCTCTATTTGAAGGGCTACTTGCAAATAGTCATAGACTTTTAACAATCCAATCACAATACGATATCTTTAAAGCGAGAATAAGTACTTACGTATAGCTTAATGTAGTTTACAGGAAATTTTTCACAAAATTTCTCTAAGAACGCGGGAGTACGGACCTATTAATGTCAATTAAAGACCGTAAACAAGATCGTGGAATATGTGTGTATTATCATTAAGAAGTCCTCGTCGACAACGCTGGACAGCCGGGAATATGATAAATGTAACTTTTGTTCTAAATTTGAATCATTGTCGTCTACATTTTGTTATATGGCAAGATTCATCCTGCGATCAAAATGTACACAGTTTGGACATACTCCAACAAAATATGTTGCGTCAATAGATTTACATACAGTTTTCACGAACTGCGATTTTGAACACAAGCAAATGAACTCAATTGCAATTGAGGACTCAAAAATTGTGGAATGCACGATATCTACGTTGTATTCTATGCGTCAACGTGCTCCGTTTTAACATGTCTAAACTATTTTGATATCAGAACCCACACAGCACTACATGGATAATTTCATCAACCGAAACGCTGTTCTACATGTTGATTTAGTATTTCCTTTCTCCCGGCTAACAGTTTCAATTATTGGATCGATACGAAAGACAAGAAACCTTTTACCCCATTTACCCATGTTTCTTCCTTATAGTTTAAAGTGGATACTATTTGCAGATACAAGAGTCTGCAGCGCTTAAACCGATAACTCACTAAAAGTAGTCTGACAGAAACACCTGTCGTAAAGTGTTAAAGGCATCCAATGAAATTTCAGGGCAGCAAAACTGGAAATATTCTGAATAAGGCAATCTGTATGATATTGACACTTACTATCCCACATTAGCATATTTATTCAGTATTTCGTACTAAAGGTATTTAAAACTGCCCGGCCCAAGATTAGTCATTTATTTTCAGGTTGGTCCCCTGAAAACCAGTCCAGGGCCTTCCAGTAACCGTTTTTCGTCAGAGTTTGGGGCATTTTTGCTCCATGAATGTCAATATACATTGTTGTTTCAACTCAGTATTAAAGGTAAGTCACTAAAGTATTGACTTTGAAAAATCTTGTTTCCAAGCCCTAAAAACTACATTGGATGCCTTTAACAAGGTCGCTGAGTTATAACGAAGATCGTTCCAGGAAAATTAATCGTTTTTTCCGGAAGGCTGCCTCGGCCGTTACAGGTGACATACAACCGTAACGATTTTTGAATGGATGCGTCGTAATTGACTTTGCTTACCACGTAAATCCTCCACTCGAGTTAATAGAAAGACTTAAGCCACACATGAAGAAAAAGAGAAGAAACATTAAGACTGGTTTAAGTCCATTTTCTGGGAGGTACTTTCTTCTTACATAAACCTTCCCCATGCCATGGCCTTAATATGTACGGACTGTGACCGAGACTGCTTTTCTAGGATATATAGAACTCACAAGTCACACGAGACGCTGCCCACAGCCATATCACCAGAGTGCTACCATCAAACATCTCTCCAGATGAAAGGTAAAGAAATGGACATGCTAATACCATGATATATGAGGGGGCAGAATAAACACAGTACCAAGCATAGCAATGCGATGTAGTCCTCTGAAAAACGAGAAAGGAATACGTAACCTAATACAATCTTTTTATCCTTGACATTAAAAGGAACACGAGTCACGATTCAGTGTCTAGCTCGAGCAGAACTAAGGATGTTAGAAGTCGACCGAATTTATTTAATCTTCACCCCAGTGCACCTAAGTCACATTGCAGACTTGTTTCAGCATGATCAAAGGTTAGTGTCTAGTTACAGCACGCCCTTTGGGCTGAACTCTCTTACAAACGAGTTACCTTGTATTCTTCAAGAGCATAACTTATTTTTGCTTTTCACCATATAGAGGAATATTGCCAAGCTCCGTTCTTTTGTTCTTGAGAGAATTCATGATTAGCTTTTATCTATTATATGATTTATGATACACGGATTATTTGGATACGAAAGAAAAGGAAAAATTGACAGGATTTACCTACACCGACATTTCGGAAGTCCTTCAGCTAACTATCTGGTTGCAATAATGCAATAACACACTACATCCTAGATTGAGTTACCTATGAGCTATGCGTTAAAACCAGACTCATTAGCGGCGAGGTCTTTTGAGAGATTCTTGATGAAAACATGTATCTTGTGGGTGACGTGTACTTTTAGCTTTTTGCCTTTGTATCCGTCCAAATCTAGGATTTACTCTTTTGACAGATCAGGGATGATATTAGTTATGTTGTTTGACGATGAAATCCAATTTTACATACTCACCCTCATATTAACCCACACCCACAACTGCTGCTAGAGATTATCCATAAACAATTGGCCAATGCGTCTCGTACGATCCCGACAGGAGAGGAATGTTTTTGCACTATTCAAGCATCATGTACATGTAACGGTTCTTTAAATACGTCTGCCCCTTACAGGTGGACAATTATTACAAAAACTACATCTTGGTTTGGAGATGAACAACAAAAATTGTCTCTAAACGCTCTACCCACATTAATGCAGTAGAAATACATGCAACGCTACTTCAAACGCGCAGTTTGAAAGCTATGCCTACAAAAATGTTTCTTGTAAAAAAAATGAATTACGTACTCACAGTGGAACTCCTGTATGAATGCACTTCCAGATTGACTTTTAACTGTACAAACAACATTCAGTTGGAGAAATCGTCTGGACCCAGGTGTCTGTACTTAGCGGCCCGCTGAGTCTTTTATGCCGGATGAGATCTGATCTCCAGACCTAATATTAAACATGCGATACCATGGACCTACCATTCTTTCTTGTGGGGACGAAGTATATGGCGTAGACCTAAAAATTGTGTCGTTTTAGGTTCAACTCTGATTGGTATGAATGACATACTTGACTGAGTGTGTGGACTGACTGTGCCATGAATTGCAACATGAGATTAAGTGATCGTATAGCTAGAAGGAAATTTCCTTCCACCAAAATGTGTAAGTAGATGTGTCCAAGATTTTGCATCAACATGCAAATAAGATTTCAGGTACATGAATAGGTATTAGATTGTACGTCACATGGATCTAAAACGTGAGGTAAAATTGTAATTGCGGAGGATAAACCCCTGCGTTTGAGTTTACAAATGTCTGGCTTTTCTTCTCATGTTATCGTCGAGTAGCAGCCGCAATGGCTTAATTGTCAAAGTTAAAATGACCGAGAAATATAGCAAAGATATTTCCAAAACCATATGAAAGGCCTTGTGTCTCTGCCTAGTACTGTACATTTCCAGAAGTGGTGATAAGCTTTAGGTTTTAACCACAAAATTGAAGTGGGACAGTATAGTATTGTTACCTCGAGCATACAATTACAGCAAAAGTAGCCGTCTGGCTAGCTATCTTTTAAAGGTTACCGGGTATCCAGCAGGGATATTTTCAACTACGTTTTGCCAATACGTTTTCTATCAAAAATACAGAAAATTTGATTCGGACGAAACTCACAACGCATCGTTTGATATTAATTGTAAAATCCACAAAGTAAAGTCGTTTAGTGCAACCTGCAATCTGAATAATCATATTCAGTACATCTTTATATTATTTACGAAATAGAAAAATCAAAACCTTATTTCAGGCAGCTTGCCAATATCATCGTGGCACTAAAAGATGTCCAATCGCCTTATTTGATGACATAAACAGATCATTTGTAATAGTTAACGGCAATGTCGTTGCTCTGATTGACCCATCTTGGTTGGTACAGTCCTATTTTTATTAATGACGTAGCCCTATTCTCACTGCCACAACACATTTCACTGATATAAAGAAGTGTATTTTGTGAGTTTAATGTTTTTTTTATATTTTGTATTTCAATAATACTTTTAGATTATATCATAGCTTATGTCATAATTATAGATTATAGGTTTGGCAGCTTAGAGGTCTCCATACAGTCAAAAGAGTGCTTAATGAGGAGATTCCCCACAGAATGTTAAGTTATACCTCACTGACATCAGAATATAGCATGTGTGATGATGTGTTCTTGATCATTACTGCCTCGCGGCAAATGCAAAATTAAATTGGCCGTAACCTCTAAAACTCTCAATGGAGTCCTGTGATATTTGTCAGTCACAGCCGTATGGACATTCAGGCAGTTATGTGCTTATTTTACGACATGTGTTTTGAGTTTGTAGGATTTTATCATCCGGTGCAGAACTTTTACAACAACACTGAAGAGGATCATAGTTCGGAAATCTTTAACGTTTACGACATTCCGGGAAATGCAGAGGCTGTGGGGGAGAGAATGTAAGTTTATAGAGCTTTTAGTTGACTTTTACAACTATTCCAGTGCGTTTGTAATGTTGAGGCAATATGAGGAGGATTTAGAACATAGCGCTTTGCTTAAATGGGACACTTCCCCGTATGATGATACTGATAGTTAAAATTGATGTACGTTACCGTAATTATGTCTTTAAGTGCGTTTCGCGGAAAACACACATTCAAGCACGTTCACGATAATTCGACTAAATCATGTGCATTTTACA